ATATAAAATATATACACAAAAAATGTCCAGATACATGTAAGGTATTGTTTTCTCTGTACAGAAAAAAAACCTAGATTTTTTTTTTCCTCAGTGTACCAGACTGAGATCACTTCCAACCAACCACGTTGTTAAGCTAAAAGCAAATTACCTTTATTCCTTAGGAATGAGCTTTAACTGTTGGTGTAGAAGTTAGACAACCACGGTTTTTCATTTCTAGAAGCTGAAAGCATACTTTATTATGAGCCAGCGGGGAGTTCTGCATCCTGAAGTCTTTTTTTCCTGCTCATGCACAGCCTGGTGAGGAGCAGGCTGGCCAGTTGGCTCTGGTTTGGTGGTCTGTGGGAGACTGACCTTGTCCCAGCCGTGTGTTCCACCAGTTGGAGTATTGAGCCTTAACCGTGCAGGATCTGCTGTGTGTGTGGCGTATGTGAGTCCGTGTGAGCGGGCTCTGCAGGTGCCTGGGGGTGTGGGTGGAGGCTGAAGAGGTCCTTGACTGCGTGAGGCTCAGGGTTCTAGCTGCATCTGATGAAGGTGAGAACTGCCTGCAGGACTTGATGAACACCCACCCAGAAGCCACATCAGTACAATCCTGCCCTTCTGAATAAATGGCTGGGGTTGGCTTCCCAGCTGTTGCTCCAGCCGGTATCCAAGAGCGAGTGTGTGAGTAAGTGACTGTGCGGTGTGTGAACAGTTTCCTGCTAATAATAATATTGGTCCTATCGATAACAGCAAAGACTAAAAGTGTCCTCAGAAGTAGTGGTTGTGGCCTGTCTACCCCTCTGCGCTCAGTCCCATTCAGTAAAAGGGGATGGACAACATGTGCATGGTCAGTGATTGAAACAAATGAAGAAAAAAGTGCGGCATTCCCCCTTGCACTGCTCTTTATCTCCCTCAGTAGTCTGGGGCCACCGAGCTAGAGCAGCCACATGATCTCAACCGGTCCCTCAGGCTGAGTTGTTAATAAATCTGCAGTTTCTCTGCAGCAAGTTGGAGGGGAGCCTTCATTCTCTAAGACAGCAAGATGAACGTTCACCAAAAATAAAAGCAAGCCTTTTCCGTTTGAAGGTTGAACAGCTCAAAGAGGAGATCTGTGAGTATCAGAAGAGTGACAAGCAAGGACTTCCATTGCCTGCACCAACCGAGACTGAAGAAGTCGCAGCGTCCTCACTGCAGGTATTTTCAAGGACTTTTTTGTTTGCTGCCGTTCTAGAAAGCAATTTGAGCAAACAGGCCCCGCTCTGCATTTCAGCCCTGTGCCATAAATGAAGACACACAGCTTGTAGTGCAGAAACGCTGGTGTTCTCTTCTGTGTACGTGTGAGTGCATCCTGTGCAGGGGTGGCGGAGGATTTGTGCTGGGCATGACGACCACATGACTGTGTAGGGCATGTCTGTTGGCATAAGCTAATACCCACTAGTGCCTTCATATTTTTATGGGTCTTGGTGGGGGTTTACTCCTGTGGCCAGTGATTATCTACTGCAGATAAATGTAGATGATGTAGCTCATGTTTTCTGGTTGTCTTGTTTGTTTATGAGAGACTCCGGTAGCTTTGGAATCGCATTGTGCTACGATTTCAGTCTTAATTATGTGGTAACTTTTAATTTTCTCTTGAGACACAGGGCACAAAGGATGAAGGGAGGACTAAAGGAGACTGTGTTTCAGGCAAAGCCGGCTCAGATCAAGACGACAGATATCAGGGAAGTGAAACACTTCATAAAAGGTGAGCAGTGTAGAAATCTTTCATCTGTTGTATGTTCACAGTGGCTTATCTGGTGTTCTGGTTGCTGGTATTCTGTCTTGCAGGGTGGATTTAAGTATTGGATTCTTTAGAATACTCTTTGGTACTAACTTTGTTTGTCTGCTCCCAAATCAGAAAGTTTGGAGGTAATGCAGTCCTGAGTGGGTCTGTAGCCCTCGGCATCAAGAACGCAGGCTGTTTTCTGACACTTCCTCTGGTTTGTTGCTTTCCTAAAAGAACAGGGTTGGGCTTTTGTGGCTCTCTGCAGACAGAAGTGTTGTTTTTGAAACTGTTTTGCTGCTGGGGAGATTTCTCTGGATTTGGTTGTTGTCCAGGGGTGTGCCAAAACACTTGGCTCGCAAGCTTAAATTTGTAAACTGGGATTTTTAAGGAAAGCCAAAGCTTTGTTCTCCTCTGGCCTGCTCAGGAAGCTGCTGTGGCTCTTCTGGCAGGGTCAAAGAGGGAAGG